CCCCCCCCCCCTTTTTTTTTTCCCCCCAGCCAATAAAAAGTGTAGTCCTGAAAATCTTTATGTAAGGGAAATAAAAATCCTCTTCCACACACACAATTGTCAGATATTGGTCTGAATTTCAGTAAGCGAGGAAAGCCTCTGAGTCTCTGCGAAGGATCTTTTGGACACCATCCAAGCTATCGGGGAACAGCCGGTGTCCCAGGGGAGCACAGACAACACCAGATCAGCACAGGCTCATGTGACGGCTGTTGTGACCGCTGGTGGCTGCTGTGTGTGTAACCAGGGTTGGATTAACAGCAGAGTTTTCTGTTTTTCACTGCCTGTAGGGCACACTAATCAGCGTTAAACTGTTGCTCACCTAAGTGTTCCCTCAGTGAGCGTAATCGTACTGCTCTTAAAGATTTTTAACGCACTCATCCCTCTTAATTCTGGAGTGGTCTGTACTCCCGTTGGAACTTATGCTCTTGTAGAAAGGAGAAATGGACCAAAGGTTGGCTTTGCCTAAGTGTGTGACTATTTCTGTTCCTACAGCGCTATGTTGCAATGCACACAAAGAGCCAGAAGGGCAAACAAAAGGCAGTTGTTTTATCAGCTTCTGCCACAGCTGGAAAATCCTAAATCTTTGCTTAATTAAAAAAAAAACAAAACATACACAAATTACTAAGGAAAAAATGGAATATACGATAATAAAAGTTCCTATCTTTTGCCAAGAGAAATCAGATATTCTTCCTCTGCTGTGCAGAATGCAACTGGCTGTTTAATTTTTATGTGTGTTTGCTTATTCTGTGGATTTGCAGATGGAATTACCCGGAGAATGGTCCGTGCTGCTCCAGGTACTTCAACATGTGTAGAGTTTGTAGGATCAGAGCCAGCCTACGATGACAGCCAGTTCATACCTCTGCCTATAAGCAAAGGTAAAAACAACCCCCAAACAAGCCTGCTTTACAGCTCAAGAAAAACTAGAGAGCTAAAATTGTATTTTAACACTTTCAACTTCCCTTAGATTTTAAATCTAGCACTCAGAATTTGAAAGAAGCAGTAGAGATGTTTCTTTCAAACAGGTGGACTCATTCTCATCCACGGAGAAGTCGTCCACAAGAGTGAACTGAACAGTTCGGACTCTTCTCGCCACGTGTTCACCTTCCATGTGATGGAAGCCAAAGACACCAGCTGGAGCAAAGAGAACTGGTAAGGTCACCATCCTAACGAGCAGCTGAGCAAACGAGACCCTTTCCAGACCTAGGACAAACTTTTCTTGGTGGCCTTGCATGTTACAGTTGCTGTTGGTAGTACCTCAGTTAGCATTGATTTCCTACCTGTAGACCTGGAATAGCTTCTGAAATTTCGTTTTTCCCTCTTCCTTACTTCCTAGGCTCCAGCCAACTCCTGAACTGCCTTTTCCATCACTCTACACTTGAAGCCAGTGGTTGGCTTCTGGAGTCAGTAGCTGATCAATATTCCTTTCTGATCATATTCTCCTTAAATGAAACTTCCACTAGATCAGCTCTCAAAATTAATTAATCCTGTCCTCAGAACAAGTACCCTTGACACCTGAATTAGGCAGGAGCTTCTGCTACAGCATGGGCCCTACTAATATGAGAACAGTTGGCCAGCCCTTTTGGGAAGGAAACTTCTTCAGTCTTGAGAACAGACCATTAAAGACCATTGCACCTTGACTGGCATCAGTTAAGAAGTATTTCTTCTTGCAGACACTAAGTATTTTCTTCTGTTTAAGTCAAGAGCTGTCTAGTGCATTTCTTGGCTGTGTCGATCCCAGCAATGCAGGTGAACACATTGTGGGAAGGTGGCTGACTTTTACTCTTAGGTCTCTGTCCTATTGTTTGAATAATAGTGATTAAAACCAACCCTATTGTGGGCAAAACAAAGCAGGAAGTCTGCTTCTATAATCAATCTTTTAAGTATTTCTAGCAAATTGTAGCTGAGTGTTTGATCTCTGGGTGTGTTGATTAAAAATGTTTTAACGGTTCTTTAAGATTCATATTGAAATTATGAAAACAAAAAAAACCCAATCAAAATCCTAACATTTACCGGGTGTGTTGATTAAAAATGTTTTAACAGTTCTTTAAGATTCATATTAAAATTATGAAAACAAAAAAAAAACCCAATCAAAATCCTAACATTTAAATAAAAAAATAGAAATTCTTCCTTTTGTCTCATCTTTTCTTTGAGGAAGACAGTGTGACCTTCTCCCCATAGATGGGGCCAGGGCCGAGTTGTCTCATAACCAGTTTGAACCCTCAGTGTGTGCAAGAACAATTATCCCCAAAATCCCAACAAAACCAAAGCAATTTATAGCAAGATGAAACCTAAGGAACATAAAGAAACCTAAGTTAATCTGAGGCAAGCTCAAGCCTGTATCCTAAGCTGAACAGAAGCCGTGTAGGTGTAATTTCACTGGCACTGGTGCAGTGGCAACCTGAGATAAAAGCCCAGTGTCATCAATGCACTAATTACATGGTAGAAACATCAAGGCTGCTCGGAGTCCTGGCACGGTGAGCCCTGGTTCTTGCTGACTCATCCCTTTCGAAAGAGTATTGCCTGCCTCTGGCATTTGTTTGATGTGAAATAGTCAAATTTGGTTTCTTTATGGGAAGAAGTTTCCTTTTGGGCTCTGCTGGGCAATGCAGAGCAGGTTCAGCACCCCAAAGAATTCATCGCAGAGGGACGATCGGGTGGCAGCAGGAATTGGGAAGCCAGGTAAGGGCAACACCAGTAACCTTGAGCTCTAAGTTTGTGCAGGGAGAACTGTCACCCTGCCCTACCTCGTCTAAACTTTGTTTGAAAGCTGTGAGCGGGAGGGAGGGAAAATGACTTCAACTCTGGTACTATTTTATGATGTTAATGTTGAAGGCTGTGGCTCATGATGGAAGCAACTAAAGCGTTTTTTGTATCTTTCCATTAGTAGTGTTAATAATTCAGAATAGCACCTTTCTGCTAAGGAGTGACAGTTTGTCCTCATTACACGCACCACTTCCTGCAATGTATAAAAACATCTAGTTCAAGTGTGTAAATAAAAGCAAGAAGCTGGATTAGATTTGCAGGGTTTCCTGTTAAATGTGAAGGAAACTCAGTCTAGCACAACTACCGAGCTCGGTTTCCCAAGAAAAGTATCTGACGATTTATTGCGTAATTAACCAAAACCGACTCTGGACAATTTTGACATCCTCAGGAAAAGTGATATCAAATCTCAGGAGCCCTGCCCAGGCAAGGGGGGTAAATTGGGCAACGCTGCCTGTCGGCCAGTCGAGTCCTGGCTTGTTGTGGGGATAAACACAGTATTAGATTCTGGGATCAATTCTGCTGGCCCAGAGCACCAGTATCACTCCACCCCCGGTCTTACTCTCACTCCTAAGACAGTCTCAGGGCTGGGACTGTGGGACAGTACTCTGTGAGGTATCTTAGACTAGTACAAAACTGTTCCTAAAATGAGTAAAAGAAGTGTCAGAAATTAACTTCATCCTGCAAACAAGAATCCTGGGATGCAAATGTTCTTGGACCCTTCTCAGGGGAAGGGGAGAGGCAGGGAGGGCATGTGTTAATGTGTCTTGTTCTCATGGATGCTTGGTAAACTGGTGAGAAGAGATTGTCAATACAAAGTAAATATTAGGGGGTTTTTTTGGCTATAAAATGGTAGTTATAATTTTAATTAAGTGAACAGAATTAAATGGCTTTACTCAATTGGTTGATGGAAGCATTTTAATAAATTATTTGATTAAACATCTAGCTGAAAAAATGTGAAAAGTAGAAAACTGCAACAGTATTAAAGTAGTTTATTGACTTTAACAGATTTTCTGCTTTCATGATTCCTGTGTAATTGGGTTTTTCTGTGACTTTGCTTAGTTTTTTTTCTTCCTTTATTGAACGTTATTCCAAATGAATTTAGAGATTAAAATCTTGAAAAAGACAAAACATTCTTCTTGTTGCGTAAACCTTTGGGATTAAAACTGCAACCCTCTTGCCTAGTACTGTTTGGAATAAACAGTCTCTTACATTCTCGAACCTCCTGCATCTGCCCCAGATAAATTTAGGTGTTACAGCTGCTGAATTTGAAGTCGTGTTCATACATCACGGTGCATTAGTACAGCTCTTGTTGATGGTGACTGGATACATTGGGACAGTCGTAGTCACTTTGTGTGGATGGTGGTCAGCCTTATTATAAAACATGCTTTAAATGGTGCTTATGCAGAAATGAGGAGTTCACATACACAGTAATACAAGGTGGCAGGGCTCAGGACAGTAAAACGAGTTTTGGCTCTGATGCAACACAGAGGTGGCATAATCCTAGAGGTTTGCTTATTTTTATTATTTATTTTTTTAATTAACTTACCTCTTCTTCTACCTCCTTTGCCTCTGAGCACCCAGAAGAGGCAGAAAAACAGCATTTGTGTTTAATAATCCAATTAATAAGTCACATTTGTGTTCTTCTGAGAACATAAATCAACTCATGCTGTTTTAAATGGGGGGAAAAAAACTAAGACCAAACAAACCCTTTATTTTAAATAGGTTTTTTCATTTCTGTTCTTAACAGTTTTAACTGCTGTACCAAAAGCAGTGTATAGATCAGCTTTGAGCTCTCATTACAGTGCATGTTCTAGTACCACTCCTTTCTAGAAAAGGAGAAACCTCTGCTCCTGGAAGTGCTTCTAAGCCATAAACATTATCTGGAGGTAGAGAGGCAACAGCAGATTATCAATTTGGGTAGTATAAGCTTCCAAAAGAGAAACTAAACTCACAGATGCCAGAATCCAGGCGTAGCTGGAGTTCAGATTCACGCTGCTGTCAAAGATCAGAATAAGAGCCACAGCAATGATCTGAGCAAAAATAGCTGTCATTGTCCCTTCAAAGGTCTTCTTTGTTCCTGGCCATTTGATTTCCCCCATTGTGCTACCAAAAACGGAGGCAATAGTGTCTCCTACCCCTACTGCCAGGACCCCAGAGTAGGGGACAAGCGCTCCTGCCCCAGGCAAGGTACCTTTAGGAGCACAAGATCTGGGGAACAACCATACTGGGAGGGACATGCCAAGGAGGAGATAAATATGAGTCAAGATTAGAGGTCCGCTGTCTCTTTCATCCAAGAAGAGAGACAGCAAATGCCTAAGGGTTTGCCCAAACGGTTTGATCCTGAAGTACCGAATATACTCTAAGAAGATAAACACTGCCAGACACAGAACTGCAGCAACGTAGAGAAGCTGGCGGTCATAGATGAGTCCGGGAACGTAAGTAGCTACAACAATGAAATGGAAATATTTCCTGGTTATAGTCGAGGCCTGGTGTTTTTTAGATTCAGATGATCTCTTAGCGTTCTGGTAGAGAACTACTCCGCATGCTGAAGCAGCCAAAAAGGTCCAATATACAAGAAGGTAAACTCTTGTCTGTGTCTGAAAGAGAAACTGGAGTAGCCAGAACAAAGGGTTCCTCTGGATGAGTCGGTAAAGCCAAGGCATGATGACCCCTAAGCCTAGCACTGCTGTCATCATGTGGAAGAACATGGAGGAGATCCACGTACCCGAATCCATGAAAATGAAGAGCACAGTGAAAAAAAGCCCAAGAAGAATAACTCCAACAACTGCTACCAGAAGGAAAAAGTCTATGGGATCACCTCTGCCCTCGATTACATTCAGTGAGCGTTTAATGAGCTGATTGAGAACAAAACTTATACCTCCGAGAACTAGCAAAGCTTCTCCAGGAGTAAAACATCGAGGCAGCAAGTACAGCAAGATCATACTGAGGTAGACAAAAATTAGCAGCACTTCTAGGACCTCTATCACTTCAGAAACAGTCAAGGAGTGCTTCATGGTATAGATAATTATACTGCCAGCAATACCAGTAAGGATGCAAGTGTTGGTTGGCACAGGTTTTGTGATGCCAACCGCTATAACAGACAGAAAGAGAGCAACCAGCATGCCCGTGGAAGCTACAACTATGCCAAAACGTTCAAAGTACACAATGCCAGCAGACTTGCACCTCTCCTTCATCACTATCCCCAGCAAGGGGATGACCATGCTAGCTGGCAGGAGGCCACTGTTTGCTGCCGTACGGAACTGGAACACAGCCCCCCCCAGCTGGAGCAGACGGTCCCATTTGAATTGGACATAAAAAGCCTGGATGGCGAGAGCGACGGCGCACCAGGAGTAGCGGTCCCACACCACGGCGTGCACAAAGAGGACGATGACGAACACGATCAGGGATTCTACCAGCACTGGCTTGTTTAACATGTTTCCACTCTGCTGTGGCTCCAGCTTTCGAAATCTTTCTCAGGAGTCCTAACGTGCTCAACAGTTGTCCATTAGGAAGAAGTCCCTTTCATGCTACTGCAACTCCTATTAAATAAAAAAACACAACAAACAATTAAGGCAACTACTAGAAAATCTAAAGCTTCCACACAGCTGTTTTTTCCTTAAGCTCAATTTAAACTGATAGTTATGTGCCAATTGTTAATATCAACACACAGGTGAATAAAAAAAAAAACCAAAGCCAGTGAGGTAATGCATCAACCAAAACTGTGATCCCCCTCTGAGAATGAGAGAAGTCAGCCTGCGGTGACAGAAATGAACTGCTGAATACTGGGGTGTTCAGATACAGTTTTAAATATTTGCTGTTGCAGCGTCTTTGAATTGAAATGGGAAGCAAACAAGCCGTAAATATTCCCAGAAGGCTTCGTTGTGATGGTGCCAATTTGAAATACGGTTAATATAAAAGTTTAAAGGTAATTTTAGAACCTAATTTCTTATGTGGCTCTCATGTATTACTTTATAAGTGATTTGTTTAACCTCTGGTAAGCACTCGAATTCTTCAAAAGTAAACATCGCAAGACATTCTTGATTGTGACCTAAAGCTGTCATTGTTTTCTATAACCCCTCACCTCCTTGTCTTACTAACACTTAGAGCACCTCACCCTCTCTGAATCAAGGCTTGCAGCCAATGACAGCTGTATCACAAACTAAACTTTTGGACTATAAGATAAATAGCTGAGATAAGCAGCACTGCACATGAGGACTCCATTAGATTAAATCTTATCTTCTCTTCGAAGTACTGTGGGCATTCATGAAGTTATCAAATTCTCACCAGCATTTATTGCTTTCTGCAACCTTTACTGCTTCTTGCATTGCTTCATCCTTTCTGGCCCACCCCTAGGCTGATTAGCAGTAAACTCTTAATAAATTCTGCTCCCCCAGTCTCATTACTGATACCCACATTAGCTCCCTCATGGAAGCGTAGAACTTTATAAATAAAGTTCTGCTTTGAGTTTCTATCCAGTGTTGAGCAGAATCACCAGACTGTAACGCTGACAGAGATCTCAGTAGTAACATTACTGGGTAATTATTCAACTTTGTACTGTCAAACTGCCTTACATTGTGGGTCTAGAGCATTTATTTATTTATGACTTTGTACTGAAAACGCTTAATTATTAATAAATTGCTTTTTGGCATCCTTATTCGTATAGACTGAAATACTTCATTGCCAAGCAGCTTCATTACATTTACTGTTGCTACACAGCTAGATCAGGCCCAGTGTAATCTTTTTTTGTCATCACAATTCATTTTTAAGCAGAACAGGAGAAGAATTAATCACAGTCAATAAAACACAACTGACAGGGGCAGTATCTACCTAAAACCAATACTGGTGTTGGGGTCCTGCTCCTTGTTGTTTCTGGGTACAGGGGAGGGGGGAAGCTCACGGCTTATCTGAGAAGAGGCAGGGTAAATGCCAGGCGCCAGCCAAGGGCTGACAAAGACCTTCCCCTCCGTCTGGCAACGTTAAGGCTGCAACCCAGCTCCTGCATCCATGGGGACACAGGGCAGGCTCCCTCCCCCAGCAGGCAGCCTGCCAGCCGGGCAGTAAGGCGAGGAGGGAAACGCCGCTCTCCCGCTGTAACGCAGCCGCTTGGGAAGCCGCTGCCCCGCGAATGCGGACCAGGATGTATTTCACTGCTGAATTATTTAATTTTCTCGTGCCTGCTGCAGCTCCCTTCTCCCGCGCCTTCCTTCAGGTAACGCGAACCTCCCCAGCGCTCCCACCGAACGGGACCCACCGCCCCCGGTTCTCTGCTCCTTTCGTGATCCGCATCCCGGCCGCTTCCCGCCGACGTGATCCCAAAAGCCCGGCAGCTCTCTCCGGGCTGCAGCACCTATCCCCCTCCCTCTCTTCCCGGTGTCCTCCGCAGCGCTGCGGGCTGCCCTCGCCCCGTCCTTCCGCGCCGCCGGACACCTCCTCCCCCCGCTCAGCCGCAGGACCCAGGCTCTACCCGGGCGAGCTCCGGGTCCAGCCGAGGGGCCGCGACCCTCCCCGCCCGCCCTCCCGGGAGCCGAGCGCGGACCCACCTCACAGGACGCCGCCATCTTGGCGCTGCCGCCGATCACATGACCCCCATCCCGCCGGAGGCGGAGCGGCGGCTCCCCCACCACGTGACGCCCGCCGAAGGGCCGCGGCCCTCCCCGACCACCCCCCCGGGAGCCGAGCGCAGACCCACCTCACAGGACGCCGCCATCTTGGCGCTGCCGCCGATCACATGACCCCCATCCCGCCGGAGGCGGAGCGGCGGCTCCCCCACCACGTGACGCCGGCGCCGGGGAGGAACTCCGCGCGGCGGGTCACGTGAGAGGGGAGCGAAGATGGCGGCGGGCGGGCTGTGCGCGAGGTGCGGGGACGCGGCGGCGGCTCCGGTGGAGGCTGAGGCGGGGGGGAAGCGGGGGAGGCCCCGTCCATCGCTGCCTGCGGGCCCCCCTCCGCGGGGCGCGGGGGGCGAAGGCGGGGGGGGGCGCCCGGCGAAGCGGAGTT